TAAACGCGACGCAACTGTTCCGAGACCTGAAAGCGACTCTGATGCCGTCACCGCCGTACGTGCACTGCATCCGGTAATCCGCAGGCAAACCCAAAAAAAACGCCATGGAGGCGGGCACGACCCCAGACGGCACCGGCAGACCCCCCGAGGAGCTCACGACGGCCCACGATGGCCCCGAAGTGTCCCACGGAGCCCCGAAACGGCCCCAAGGGGCCCAGGAGGCCCCCAAGACAACCCAACAGGACGCCGTGACAAGCCCAATGCGACCTGGGAGTAACCAGCGAGAGACTCCAGAACGGCGAAAACAACGAACGCAACATGAGGCAGGCGAAATAAGGGGACTCACAACGGGGGGACGGAGAAGGGGGGGGGACGACAACGAAAACGAAAGAGTGTACCCCGAAACGACGCGGATAAGCGTGTCACACGTTGCGGCCATTGCACGGGTATGGGCGGCGATCTGTCGCGTGGTACGGTTTTCTTGGCGGTGCTCTAGAACTCGCCGCGCCGAAACATGCGCAATCGCAGCGCGCGGAACTTGCCACGCACAAATCGGCATAACGCACACGCCCGATTCTCCAGACGCATCCGCAACGGGTATGATTTGTCGACGCAGTCGCGCCCTCCTGTTAAGCAAAAATGCAACAAGAGAGAGGGGCATAGGGCAAAGGGAAGAGGCCGGGCGAGACGCGAACCACGCATGATCACAGCCCGACAGAAGGTGGCACGCGCAAGCGCTGAACGACATTCCAGTGTTTCGGCGCGCCGCCAAGAAGGGAAGAGCGGCGGGGGGCCCGCGAGCCCAGGAGGGTCACACTTGGCGGCGTGCTAGACGCTACAAGAGGCCTCGCCGCGCGGAGGCGCTCTGCCCGCATGAACGAGCGCATCGTCGCCCCAAATCGGCGCAATCACGCCGCGCGAAGCATCGCTGCGCGGGGACAACATGCAAGACACGTGCAGCTAACAGGCGAAACGAGCGTTACGCAACGCCTTAAACATAGTGCTGCAATGCCGCAGCGACCACGTTTTTGATTATGCGACCTCCCCAGATTAGCGCGCGCGTGGGTTGTGGCAAACGGGCGCCGCCGCGCGAGAACGCCACTCGGCCTCGCGAAAGCACATTGGAGGGAATCTCCGCGGGAAAAGCGCTGCAAGCGGCCAGGCTGCAATCTTTCGAGACAAGCACTGCGTCAAACCAGAAACACTCGCCAACGACAGCCGCAACGCAGAAACAACAAACAAAAATGTAAACGTCCGGAACTTCCGGTTGCGGTGCTTTCTTGCGCGAGCAACTTAGTAATGTGCCCGAAATGAAGCCCAAGCGGTGCAACACAATTTGGCGGAAATTCACAAACTTCCGCCTCATATGGGTGGAGCGGATATTTCCGCAAGCTTATGGCGGAAACAACGACTGCAACGCAGGGCAGACATCTGCACCAACAGAGCTTGAAGAATAGGGCGGGTATGTCCGCGCTTCTCACGAGATCGCCCAACATACGCTCTGGACACCCTCACCAGGCCTGGTGTCATACCTCCCCGTCGTTTGTCAGGCCGCCGGGGCCTGCCAAGGACCCCAGCAGAGGCCGAACAGATCGCGAACGTTTTATTATTCGGCGTTGTGACATTCGGCGGAAAGGGAGGGGAGGGGGGGGGGGCTTCGGACTTCTGCTTAGTTCGACTGTTTGCAACGCTGGGTCCCATGAGGGGAGACCCCACCTGCTGAAATGGGGGCCCAAAGCAGCCAAAATCTACTCCAAGGGGGGGGGGAGAGGGCCCGCACCGACCGGCAAAACAATGAATAAACAAACGATCGCATACGCTATGGACCCACTCACAAGGCCCGGTGTGTCATCCCGCCTCGTCGATTGTCGGGCCGCCGGGGCCTGCCAAGGGCCCCAGCAGCGGCCCAAGAGATGGCCAAGTGAGCAATTTTTTCGTTCGGCGTTTCGACATTGGGCGGAAAAGGAGGGGAGTGGGGAGGGCTCCAGACCTCTGCTTAGCGCGGCTGTTTGCGACAGTGCGTCCCATGAGGAGAGACTCCACCTGCTCGAAAAGAGCCAAGATCTACTCCATGGGGGGGGGGAGGGGGGGGGAGGGGGGCCCGCGCCGATCGGCAAACGAATGAGTAAAGCAACGATCGCCACCCCGCCTCGTCGATTGTCGGGCCGCCGGGGCCTGCCAAGGGCCCCCAGCAGCGGCCGAAAAGATTGCCAACCCAAACCTGCTACCCTGTGTTAGGTCGGGCGCGTCCCTCTACCAGGGGGATTTTGGTCGAAAAATAATTTTAAAAAAAACACCAAACTTCACAAAAATTCAAAACATTGAGCAGGGACCGACCGTCCCGGCATTCCTATAGTCATACCACGAACTGTTCTTAGAACCCAGCAATGTTCCAATTACGAAAACAAGGTCCTTAGAACATAACCCCGGTGTGTTAGATCAAGAGGGTCCCGGCCAGAAAGGTTGTGAGAGCATCTCGTGGAAGCCACACAAAAGGTTCTTAGAACCTTGTTTGATAGCGCTATGGGGAGAGCCAGGACGCTTCGCCACTGCTTGAAACAAATTCGTGCCCGACTATTTGTGCCATATTTCTGAATCTTCCCCGGTCTGGCTGAAGCGTTTCATGTGTGACGCGATTTGCCTTATATGAATATAGTATGGTAACATGCCTCGTTTCACGCCGCGAGGTCTGGGCCATCGGGGGGCGCACAGGCAACGTCCACGACGCGCCGCCGCGGGCGACCCATCCGCAGCGCGTTGCCGTCCAAATTCGGTCGGGCACGTCCTCCGACAAGGGGGATTTTGAAGGACAAGTTCAAACGAACAACCAATCGTTCCCCCCATAATACTCGGCACATCCGAACAAACAGTTTAAAAGAGTCGTCCCCAGACTACTCTTTGACTATTTTTGAATACTCCTCCTGTAGAAGGACATGCCCAAACTAACCTTGCAAAAGAAACGCAAGGCCTTCCGACAGAACGAGGACCTCCCAAGCTGGCGGGCCACCGGCGGCAAAAAACCATTGCTCCAGTTTCTCTCCCACGGCGGTGCGGTGATGGACCGTGCGGTCAGACCTTAGGGGGTTCCGAGGTCATCAGAAGGTGCGTCAGCCCACCGCTGTGACACGCCCAGACATTTTGAACACATCAAGTCGTCAACTCCGGGCTGCATGTCAAGGTGATGGGATTCAATCAAGCGCGGGGAAGCGGCTGGAGTAACTACGACTCATTTAAGGTTGCCGAGTGCCTCGTCATCTAGTTAGTGACGGGCATGCATGGATCAACGAGATTTCCACTGCCCCTATATACAATCTAGCGAAACCGTAGCCAAGGGAACGGGCTTGGGAAAATCAGCGGGGAAAAAGACCCTGTTGAGCTTGACTCTAGTCCGACCCTGTGAACTGACATAGGAGGTGTTGAACAAGTGGGAGCTTTGGCAATCTTCGGCCAACAACGAATAGCATGTTGGCGGCTACCATCGGCAGAGTGCCCTTGCGCCTCCTCCTCCTCTCCCACCACATTGCGGCGACGGACCGTGCGGTGAGGACTTTGGGGATCCCAAGGTCCCCACAAGGCATGTCAGCGCACCGCTTTGGGACGCCCAGACCACTCGAAGCAATCGAGTCGTCGAAGGCATGGGCACGTAAATGAACAAGAAGTTCGAACCCTGCGGCGCAAGCTACCCTCCAGACCTCCACAGTTAAGATTGAGGGTGCGCCAATGGAGAGGGCATGCGTGGACGGAAAAAAACAAAAACCCAGACCACCACCCATGCTAAAATCGACATCGATCTCGGGGGCCAGGGGGTGATGAACATGCCCCTCAAGTGTGCGAAGGTTCGGATATGTTGTCCGTGTGCTGGCATTCGTGCCAAGACCTCTGACGTCGTCGTAAATGTTTCTCAACATGTTTGGACGCCCGAAATGGCTACCGAAACAATGGGTACAATGCCCAACAACAAATGTTGTCCCAAACCAACAGCGGCCGCTGTTGGGCAGGCGGCCTTCTGTCTCGAGTGGACACAGGCCGCCGCGGCGTGAACAGAAAATCCTGATCAAAATGAACAGGAACTGCTGTTGGGCATTCTCCCCATTCTTTCCGTACCCATTTCGGGCGCCCAGAACATGGACCCCCAGGACGCCCCGACCCGCTCCCCGGGACCGGCCTCACATCCTGGGCCGCTCCTTGGCGGCCCATGGGGCCCGGCGAGGGCCCCCCGGCGCCGTCGAGGGCGCAGCGAAGCCTGCCGCCCACCGACTCGCGCGGGAGCGGCCACGGCCTGCCCTGGCTCTGCCCGAAGGTCTCTGGAATCACCTGGGTGCAACAAGACAAACTCGGATGCGCCACGCTTCATCTGTGTTTATCTTCTTCGTCTGGCCTGATCCCCACAAGTCGTTTGGCGAAGAGTTGTAAAACCTCAGGATTGAGCGGGGACCGACCGTCCCGACATCCCTACAGTCCTACCACGAAATGTTCTTGGAACCCACAAACTTTCTCTGAGAGCAAAAGCAGTGCTCTTAGAACACAAACCCGATGTGACAGGACAGACCCCGCCAGACATGTTGTGGAATCCACAGAAAAGGTTCGTAGAACATGTCGGGAGCGGCCAAGAGGGGGGCGTCCAAGAGGGGGTGCCCAGCGGGGGGGCCCAGCGGCATGTGCGCGGCCCAGCGGGGGGGCCAGGGACGTAATGAAATAAGAAGAGGCGCCACGAGATCTGGGGAAATATCATGGCCCCCTCCATGATACCCAACCCCCCAGTCATCGACCCCCCTCTTTTCCGCCCCCGCACATTGTTTGGTAGGGCTATAGGCGAGCCAGGCCGCTCCGCCACTGCTCGACGGGGACGGCGGCGCAGGGTGCGGGCGCGCGCCTCGGGCTCCCGCGGCGCCTTGATGCACATCGGCCTCGGCGGCGGCGCTGCGGGGCACCGCTTCCGAGGAGCATCGACGCTTCGGCCGTTGCCGTCGGCTCCCGCCGGCTCTCCATAAGGGGAACAA